CCTAAACCGGATGAACAAGGATGGGCCTTAACCGTTAGGCCTTTTTAATTTTGGACGGTTTAACAACAATTCAACCAAACTAAAATTCAAAAGTAGATTAAAACCTATCAAAAACACAAGAATAGAAAAAACTTTTAAAAAAAATGGATTAAAATCACTGGTTTTTAAGAGAATTCAAGAACACGAAAACTTTTTAAAAACACAAAATCCACCAAAAATTAAAATTCGAATGATCAAATCACAAATCTTTGTGAATAACAAAGATTCACAATTCAATTTCGAGCATTTTTGATCCTATTTATAACACGAAAACACAAGATTTAAAAAAATTTCGGATCAAACAGAAAGAAAAAATGAAGAACACGAAGAACTAAAAAAAATTCCAGAAAAATTCTTCAAAGATCTTCAAATCTGTTGTGACAGTAGTGAAATTAGAAATCCCAGGTTAGCTTTTATTAAGATTATATTAGTGTTATTGAAGTTAATTTATAGATTAGGAGCTAGTTAGATTAGTTTAGTAGAAAATTTTTAAGAATTTCCGGCAGTTGCTTAGAAAGTCCAGTTCTGGCCCGAAATTATCTTAAACATCCTATACAGTACCAAATGTTCTAATTTATACCCAATATATGTAAAACACTAAGTTTTAGTGTTTTAAATATAAAACCTTTCTATTTAAATAAATTTAGTCATCGTGGGCTTTAAGAATGAAGAAAAATGTCAAAATTGAGAAATTGGGCTTTTGTGCATTTTTGGGCTTTCTTTTATAATTTTTTTTTTGTGAGGGTGGGCTTGGGCCCTTATGGCCGGCCTCCCCCCCCCCAATTTCCCTCCCTTGGCCACATATAAATAGCATTAATTTCTTTTAATTCCCATAATTCTTTCATTCAAGATTCAAAAACTCTCTCATTTCTCTCCCTAAAAACTCAAGGGTCACCTTGAGATATCTTCATCATCCTTCATCCATTCCAGCCGATTTCTCCATCCATCTTCATCATTTGGCCAAAATTTTGAAGATACAGCATTCATTCCATCATCAAACAAGGTAATGCATTCATCCTTTCATCTTTTCTTGTATGTTTTGGGGAGAAAAACCCAGTTTATTGCATTCTTCATCCTCTATTCTCTATGTTTCGAAAATGTTGAGTCTCAAGGTGAGATTATACACTAAAAACATGTAAAAVTGTTTATTTGATGGTGGTAATCCATGACCCAAACATTAGAACTCAAAAAGGTAKSAAGAAATCATGATTTTATGTGGTTTATTTCTTAAAAAYTTCATATTCTGGTGCTGACAGATTATGTGCTTGTGCACAAAATCGTCCATATCTTATAAATGGCTTGTTCAAATGTTATGAGGTTTCTTTTAAAAGTTTATTTATTGAGTTGGGTTGCAATGCATTTGGTTTCACTCAAAAACATTGAGTTTTGACCCCCCAAATGCTCAAAACATTGTATATATGTATCTGAGAGTTTTTCAGTAGGTAAACCCTACTTTGAATAGTCATAACTCTCTAGATAATCATCCAAAATTGTTGGTTTTTCTTGTGGATGTTATTTTAATGAGTTACATTTCAAATGCCACCGATTTCATTCAATATTGTGGTGATTTGAGGTTTTAATTACTCAAAATAAGATGAACATGAAATCTGTCCGATTTTGACAGATTTGTATATGTATGTTCCATCGACCATATCTCTCTCATAACTCAATGAAAAAGGGATGACTCTTCTTTTGATAGTTAACTTTATGGGTTGTCTCCTACATGCAAGTGGAATCACATAAAATTATGGAGTTTTGATCTCCAAGCACCTAAAACTCTATAGGTGTGCAAACTGTGAAACCACCAGTAGGTTACTCTTACTTTGAATGCTAATATCTTTTTACTTACTTATTCTTAAAGCATTATTCTTCTTCTAAAACATTATTTTATGAGTTAGGATTCATTTGAATCCAGTTCCACTCAAAAATATGATTTTTTGAGGCATGAACCAATTTATTTAAGTCAAGTGTGCAATCTGTCAACTAATGACAGATGTGTGCATATGACTTTAAGGTATCATATCTTCCTCTCAACTCATATAAAATGAGTGATTCTTAGTTTAAAAGTTTGGTATAGGTGTTAGGTTTCCAATCCAACTTGAATTTCTATATAACACCTAGTAGAACTCTTTTAATGAGTGTTTTACTAACATGGTGCAATCTACCACTTCAGTTGTGATAAGTTGCATTGCATAAATTATTTGAATCATCATCTCATGCCCAAAATACATGTAATTTGGTCACGATGACTATAACTTAATGCTATAAATCATATAAAAAGATGGGAAATTTATCTCATTTTTGAAGTCTCTTTATTTGATCATTTTATGTATCATAAGTTTCTGTCTAGAATCAAGAAATCTGGATTTGGTTGAATTTGTAAAATTTGATCTTTTATTGGATTATAGCATCATTTCCGGTATAAATTAATTCTTTAATGAGCATATGCACATTTTGTATATTTGGACTATTGATAATATTATGGAACATAAGTAGACAAATAAGGACTTAGGATTTATTAAACCCCACAGGTAGAAATAAATCAATAAGTGATGGTTTTGGATATTCCTATTGATAGGGAATCGTTGACCTAGCGCGGTATTCGGATCGTATTGCTTTTTCTTGCGAAGCTCTATATCAAAAGYGAGTTTCACGGCCCCTTTTTACCAATTTCTCGTTTTGGGGTGCAAAGCATGGTTAATGAATGTTTGATAGATTTATATCGATATGAATCTTGTTATGAGCATTTTATTGTTTACACTATTGATATGTTAAGACTGAAAGTCCCCGTTTATTTCCACTGCTATTAATTCATTTTTGAACCCATGATTCTTATGGATAGCGTTATTTGGTTGTTATACCCACCTTGTTACTGACGAGTAGGGGTGCACTTGGTCATTATAATTTGCTCTACACATGTGGCACGAAGTGGTCACCGCTGAGGTAGTCCGGTGGGAGTTCTACACATGTGACACGAAGTCGTCACCGCTGAGGTAGTTCGGCATGAGGTCTACACATGTGGGGTTTAGTCCCACCGCTGAGGTAGTTCGTAAGTATGTTCTACACATATGGTTCGCTACCACCTCTGAGGTAGTTCGTGGGGCATTTTTAGGTTTAGTAGTGGCTCAACAATATAAATCATGTGTATGACGTTGTTTTTAAGATATTGCTCATAAACTTATAACTGAGATTGTTGCATTTGAAATCATTTTGTGCATATAAAACCTGTGAACTCACCAACTCTTGTAGTTGACACTTGTTTGRCATGCTTTTTCAGGGTAAGAAAGACTCATGGTGACACTTGTTAGAAGACGTGCCACGTTTATCGATTTCAAAACTATTTTTTTATGTTTATTTTGTAAATTTGTATTTGGGATTGTAAACTTTAATTATGATGTAATTATGTTTTAAATTGTATGGTTGTGTTGTTTATACACTATTGCTATGAGACTCTACMTGMCATACCYYGTGTTTCCGCTTTAGCGGGGTGTGACAGATTTGGTATCAGAGCAATAGGTTATAGAGAACACCGGTTTTATAAGAAAACCATACACTATAACCCCAAAATTTTACGAATTAATTTTTTTAGTTAGGGTCTCAAAAATTTAAAATGGACATACTACTAATATAACTAGAACGGGTAACTTCTTAGCATACTCTAACTAGACATAGCCTGATCACCTGTGTCTAATTAAGTATGTATAAGGTGAGACGTGGATTGGTTAAGTTAGGTGTTTGTCTAAAAGTTAAAGACTTTTTACTCATTAAGAAAAGCACGGTTCGCTTGTGTGAGTTTGCATAAATATTTGCATCCTTTTTATTATGATTCGTTTAATGATTTTAATTATTTTTTTTAAATATCGCAGCATTATGTCAGAAAATGAGCATGTGAACTCTGAAGAATACGATCCCTCAGAGCACAGCTATGATAGTTGCAATGATGCCACTGAATCTACAGCGCGGTCACCCACCCCACAGCCGCCTAGCTCTGTGCCCGCACAACCTATAGCGCCACAAGGGGTCAGATTTCGGGCTACCGCCCGAATGAGCATTCCTCCACCTGTGAGGATGACTTTCTCCACCCCAACTGGAGCTGTGAGGGAGCCATCACGATCACGCACTCGTAGTGTAACACCTCCACCCGCTACCAGGACCACATCGGAGAGTACTCCGGGTATGACCACCCTGGAGAAATTGTGGGTTTTGGGTATATCTCAAGATCTGGAGATGTGTCAACTTAGGCTGGAGCACTATCTACACTTTGGAGATGGAGTGATCACAGCCCTAGGGACTCAAGATAGTATGATGGAYCGTTCACTAGAGTTGATCTTCATAGCTATGAGGGCAATCAGGAGGTTGCACATTTATTTGGCGGTGTTAGCAGGAGCTTTGATGATAGTGATGGGATTGCTTATTTGGAGTCTTATGTGTTAGAGGATTTTATTTGTTAAGTTATTAATGGATGAACTTTAAGACTTTCTTTTGAGGCTTATAGCCGTGCTTTGTGAACAATTTTCTTTATATTGCACGTTTATATTTTATTTATGGATCCTATGAGATTTTTGCCTATAGATAGTTAAGTTTTATTGATTATAGATTTAATGCCTTGATATTATAAGTTGTTATATTATTATCTTGATTACATGATTAGATGATTGTATCATGTCGGGCAACACAGTGTAAATAATGAGAATAACCGAACTTCAATTTACAATCTGTGTATTAAAAGTATGCCTCCAAGAAGGAATACTCGCAGCACGAGAGAAAGTCCTGAAAGCCAAACACCTGATATAGCATAGTTGATAGCTCAACAAATTCGAGAGGCAGTACCAACTATTGTCGCTCAGGTCACAGCAGGCATTAATGCAAATCAAAGGAGTGAAGGAGGCCCTAGTACCGAGAATCCCGTCAGAGAGGAGAAGCGTAACACCAATGATAGAGGATGCAGTTACAAGACATTCATGTCCTGCAAGCCCAAGGAGTTTCATGGTGAAGAAGGTGCAATTGGATTATTATCATGGATTGAAAGCATAGATTCGGTACTCCATATTAGCAAGTGTTCCGAAGATTGTAAGGTGGAGTATGCAACATGCCAACTTCAGGGAAGAGCCCTAACTTGGTGGAACATACAAGTTCAAACTCGTGGTCGTCAAGCTGCCTATGAATTATCACGGGAAGAACTCAAAAAGTTACTCATCGAAGAGTATTGTTCTAAGAGCAAAATTCAGAAATTGGAAGTCGAATTCTGGAATCACACCATGATTGGAATGGAGATAGACAAATACGTAGCCCGTTTTCATGAGCTTGCAAAATTAGTACCTCATATGGTCACTCCAGAGGAGAAACGAATTGATCGGTATATTTGGGGATTGGCACCTGAAATCCGAGGGATGGTCAGTTCAGCAAACCCAACCACTATACAAAACGCAGTGGTGTTGGCAAATCGTCTGRCAAATGATGCAGTTAGATCAGGGATTTTAAAGCAAGACAAATTTGGTGGAAAGAGGAAGTTTGAAGGGCAATCGTGGAAAAGGACCAAAAATGACTTAGGTAAAAACCAAAAAGTAATAAGAAACTTTGGAGCTCAATCTCAAGCTGGAGAAAAGGGTAAGGGAGTTTACCCAAAGTGTGACAAGTGCAATAAACAACATCTGGGGAAATGTACCACATGTCTTAAGTGCAACTGGACAGGACATGTTGCAAGGGATTGTAGAGTCGGAGAAGGACGGAGTTGCTTTGAGTGTGGAAGTCCAAATCACTTTCGAAGCGCTTGCCCTAAGAGAAATCAAAGGCCCTACACAAATCAAGCACGACCAACCAATCAAGGGAACCAAGGGGGTCAGGCACGAGGTCGAGTGTTCGAGATTGGGGCAGAAGAAGCAAGATAAAATCCTGATGTAGTCACATGTATGTTTCTCCTAAACAATCATCTTGCATCCGTACTTTTTGATTTTGGAGCAGATAAGAGTTATGTAAAGCTAGATTTTAGGCAAAAGATAGATATAAGACCCCAAAAGTTGAATGAAGTACATATAATAGAATATGCTAGCGGACAGAAAGTTAAGGTCAGAGATGTGATCAAGAACTGTACTCTAAACTTGGTAGAAACGAATTTTAGTATAGACCTAATCCCAATTAAAATAGGAAGTTTTGATTTAATCGTGGGTATGGATTGGTTGTCCGAAAACCGAGCCAAAATTTGTTGTGCTGAAAAGAAGATTCGTATACCACTGTCAGAAGGAAAAATACTTGAAGTACATGGAGAGAAACCAAGGAAGGATCTTAAAATAGTGAGATGTATGAAGATGCGAAATTACATGCGGAAAAATTGCGTTGTATTTTTTGCACATGTTGTGGATAGAGAAATCAAAGAGAAGCTTATTCAGGATCTCCCGATAGTGCGAGATTTTCCTGAAGTATTTCCAGATGAATTACCTGGATTACCCCCGCAAAGACAAGTAGAGTTTCATATTGATTTAGTTCCTGGAGCTGCACCTGTGGCAAAGTCGCCTTACCGATTAGCACCATCGGAGATGCAGGAATTATCAGAACAACTACAGGAGCTGCTCGATAAAGGGTTCATCAGGCCTAGCTCTTCACCCTGGGGAGCTCCGGTTCTATTTGTCAAAAGAAGGATGGATCTTTCCGAATGTGCATTGATTACAGAGAACTCAACAAGCTGACCATCAAAAACCGTTACCCTCT